AAATTTTATACGCTTTTTTTTTTTATTTCCTATAAATGAAAAATTTTAATTTAGAAAACCAAACCCTTTTTAAAAACAATTTTAAAAAAATATTTTTAGAATGGTTTTTAATAATAATTAAAATTTTTACCTTTTTTGGTTAAAACTATTATGAGGGCACTAAAATTTTCAAAAATATCTTAAAGAAGAAAAACAAAATATTTTGATACAACAATTTGGTTTTCTAGATTTATTTTTAACTTCCTCTTTCTTTTTCAATCTTAAGAAGATAACTCTGTTGAGCAGTTATTTCAAATCTGACATTTGTTGTCTCTCTTTGTTGACAATGATTGTTTTATCATAAACATTATTTTATAAAAAAGGATAAAGGATTCATCATTAAACCTGTTTTGTACATGCTACGTAATAGTTATAGTATATGAAACGAGTTAGTTACGAGGGTATAACACTGGCTGGGGCGACATCAAGGGGTGTTTCTGCTAAAAAATGGCGAGGCCGTTAGGCCGAGACATTTTTTTGCAGAAACATCCCGAGATGTCGCCCCAGCCAGTGTTACACCCCCGTAACTAACGAGTTTCATATACTATAACTGTTTTATCGCAATGGCATAATGTTTTCTTTTTGTATAGAAACAAATAAATAAATTAATCGTTAGCTACATTACAGTTATTAAGGCAGTTTTTCAAGTTGTTTTCGCTGCCGCAAAAAAAAATATACAAAAGACATCCAATATAAGAGGCGGATTATATACTGTTACCAAGATTGATTTAAGATTAAAGGGCTTTTTTCATTTCATTAATTATCTTTGTTTATATTTTTCATTGTATTTATATATTTATTTTATTTTATTTTATTGATTTCATTTTTTTATTATCTTATGGGGTTTTTTTTTGCTACTGGGAATGGTCGTTACCACTGCCCATTGGAGCCTCTATGAAAAAACTGTATTGATATATACAAGGTGCGAAAAAAACTAGACCGATATATAACAGTACAGTTTTTTTCCTATATGAATCAATGAAAAAACTGTACTGTTATATATCAATACAGTTTTGAAATGCTCATTGAAGTGTACTGAGTATAATGGGTTGGAAAGAACAAAGGAAAAGCTCACAGCCATGCGATAAGTACTATATGTCTTGCCTACCTTGTAATCTTTTTTATGTAAGATATGCAAGATCTACCTTGTGAATGTGATATTACAGTGAATGGTGATAGATCTTTTGTTTTTGAAGGTGAATTTTCAGTTTCCATTCATAATTTCCCCAACAGTTGTACATATTCAACTCAAATTTAAAAGATGAATACGTCATAAAAATACACTGGTGAAGTTCGAATGTGGTCATGCTTTGATGATTATTGAGTTATCCCTCTTGAACGGTGGAAAAAATAAGAAATTTTTAGTTTCTGTTCATTATTATCTTCACAACATTTACATTAACATGAACATTTAAAACTCAAATATGCTATATATATACATCTTCAGAATAAGCAGTTGGTCATGGTTTGATGATTTTGGACAAAATTATCTCTCTTGAATGTTGGAAAAAAATTTAAAGTTTCAATTTCCACACTCTTACTTTTGTGGAAATGTATGTAGACATTATCTAGGCTATACATATGCAATATGCTCTTTGCTAAAGGTTAACACTGAATAGTTTCATGGCCTTGAACTTTATATAAATATGTTTTGTGTTAACAGTGAATAGTTTTAGGGCTTTGAAAATAGAATAAAAAAAATAGTTTGCAGTAAATATTGTCTTAACATTTGAAATTTTGGCTGCATGCAGGCCCGGCATCCGAGTGTGACAATATTAACACATTTCTAGTTTAAGATTAATGTTCCTTTTGATGTTTTTCTACATCATTAACTTTTGTTCCAAATATCACATCACTCCAGGAGTGTAACTTTTCCAAAATTACAGAAAAGTTTGTTTAAATTGTTGTTTATATTGTGAAAAATGACACAAAATAGTTACTAAATTACTACACTTTTCACTCAAATTAAGCTTCTATTCTTTTGCATATCTTAATTTTATTAGTACTCTAGCTGATCTATGTAAGAAATTCAAATTTTATATTTTTAGGCTTTTGAACCTCAGCAGAGTTCCTTTAATGCATTAGTTTGAAGAAAAAGTTTATTTCACTATGGTCACTTTGTATAACAATTTATGTCAATAATTTCAAACAGATACATTGAAAATCAACACACTTTTCTTCATTAAAATGAAACAAGGTTAGGGTATTAAATAAATACTCCTTTTCAGTCAAAATAAATACTCCTTTTCAGTCACTGTTTGGAACAGTCCACCTTGATCTTGATTAAATTATAGCCAGACAGCACAGCATCTAATTGATTATGAGTATATGACTGACATAATGTAACAGGGAATCTTGTTCGTTCAATTTTAACATTACACATGGATCTCTCTTTTTTGTTAAGTTAGCATTGTTTCTTGTTTATGCAGTCAAAAATGGTTGCAACTTGACAATAACAATTACACGTTATACCGATAGTACAATTGGGTTGAAAATACTTGTCCCATTCATTTTTTGACACTCCTTTTGACAAGGATTATTAAATAAGTAACAGATTACCTGATTTATGATTTCTGCATTTACAGATTATGAGGGAATGTGTCGCTCTCTGACAGAGAAAGAAAGACAGTTAACAGAGCTTAGGGAGAGAACTGATAAGAAAATAGAACATCTGAAAATAAAACCAAACATGGAACAGGATAGGACCATAACTGTACAAGAGAAAGATTTAGCCAAGTAAGTGTTTATAACCTCAGTATACTGAACCACAATCAGATTATTATTTTTTATTGTTAAATTGTTATTTTTTTCTTCTATAGAAAATTGTTTCAAAACAAATTTTTATCATCATCTTCATTATTATCACATTTTGTTATTTTTAAGCTATGTATGATATTATGTTTAAGATGATTATTGTTTTTTGAAAATCAATTTCTTTTTTATATAAAATGAAAAATACATATAAAAAATTTTGACTTCATTTTGATTAACACTTAAGTCAGTAGTGGAGAATAATAATTAAATAATTACCTTTTTGTTTATATCTGCAGAAGATTTAAGATCATGAGGTCACTAGATTTTCAAAATTTTAAAGAAAAACAAAAATTTTCAGAAATTTTCCAAATGTTAATATCTAGGATGTTGGGTTTTCTGAAATGATTTTACTTCCTCTTTCTCTTTAAATCTTAGGAAGGTAACTCTGATCTTCAATATTTGTATGTCTGACATTTGTTATCTCCCTTTGATGAAAACTGAATATTTTGTATTATTTTTCACAATTAAATTCTGATCTGCCTTTAAGGTTCCTTTTAATCTATTAACTTTGGCTGTAATTGAGGATTGATTGGCAAATACATGTATGTGATTTTGATATACTGTTGTAATTAAGTCACTCAAAGCTGTACAGTGTACTAGAGTTATGCTCTATTTATGTTAATCCAAAAATGTCATAACAGTTTGAAGAAAAAGTTTATTAGGTTACTTTTGTATGTCAATTTCTTTTTATTCATAGTAAAACTGACCTATAACATCCAATACAATAAAAACAATACAATAAAAATCAACAATTTCTTTGACCATTCTTTAGTGAGAATTCTCCATCCTAATGTGATACTAATTCTAAAAGAGAACTGTCAACAATGCTGATATTCAAGTTTTACGTTATGTTTCGTTGAATTGGGTCCTATTAAAAAGGTAGCACTATTTGATCATTATTGTTAATACATTTACAAGTAAAAACAGTTACTGATTTATAGCATTATGCACATGTTGAAGGTCATAATGTAGTGAGTTGCCATGTGATTTGTAACATCAAATAAAAGCACAAGGGTCAAAATTGGCCTGGCCCCGCCCAATGGGGTCATTGATTTTCCTAATATGTATATAGTACAAACAAGAAAAAAATCTTCTTGTGAAAATTCGAAAGCGCTAGAGCTTAGATAATTTTGGCATGAAACATCAGAATCTTTTAGTGGATGACTACCAAGTTTGTTCAAACAAAAGCCCCCAAACCCTATGGTTTTATGTTTATTTGCCCTGATGATTATAGAAACTGATAGGCAATAAATTAAATTGAGAAAATCCAGTTAATGTCAGTTTCTTTTTAGTGTGAATAAATATATATATACATGTGTCAGGGTAATTTGAAAGACCCTGGTTGGCAGAAATTGATCAACTCCAAAGGCCAATGAATCTTGTGCAAAGAATGGGTCAGAATTGGTAAATTTTCTATTTTTAGACCTTCTTATCACTCATTTATTTAAGTATTTTATTAAATTAGTGTCATAATTTCATGCCAAAAAAATAGAGAAAATAAGAATCCCTAAAGAAGGCCCAACACGGCAAAATTGAAAATGAAAGCTCGGTTTGATTGAGCCTGTTCATGGACGTTGCTGTCAAGTGTAAACTACTGTCCACCCCACTAGCAGACCCACAACCCTACAATGATTGTTTACTGTATTATTCCGCTTTATAGTTATGTTGAATAATTACGTTAGCCTTAAGTTGCAAATATCATATTTTATTCAGCAAAACTTCCAATTTAGAAAATGAATATGACATGAATATACGGAAAGAGAAAAATACAATTATTGGACAAGAAAATAACAAACAACTAAATTATTTGTTAACATGTTCTACAGTAACAAGCTATCACTGTTCTTTTGGCAGCTTATGTATTTTGCAGAAATGTGAATTATTAATAAACTAACCCATACCATGCTAAATATCTTAACTCGACTCGTCCTTATTTCAATCTTGACACATATATATTTATCATTTCTAGAGAAAATTTAAAAATAAGTAGTTCATGAAAAAGTAACAGGGCAGACCATAATCAGATAATACGGACAAGCCGGCTGATCTTGTTTGAACTGGTTTCATAGGTAGAGTTTGTTGCAGCAAGCAGACACCTGGGTAAAGTTTATCAAACAAGTGCATCAATTTACAAATTTATTCCTCTATATAATACATTTTATTGAAAATATCACAAAGCAGTATATGACATATTCCCTGAAATAAATGATCACAGAATGATGACAATATGCTATAAGTTGGCAGTCCTCCGTACCCACGTTTTAATAATCTGATGAGCTACTGCTTGTTCTGGTGGTACAAACAGTCCTTGAGGATGTTGATGTGTTAACATTTGAACAACCTCGGGGCGCCCAAACCAACGTGCATCCTCCATTTCTTCAGGATCAAGCTGTAAAACAAACAATTTATCATTTCTAACTATATGAATTATATCACATTTTACATATTTGCCTTTTAATAATATTTATTACACCTCACTAATAAATTTTAATTTATTAAGGACAATTAATAGCTGTGTGATGCAAATAGAATCAACTTGCAATATCAAATACTGGACAAAATTGAAACATACTGACAGGTTGTCATTTTTACGAGGCTGGAAATGCTGTCATCAATGTTATAAAGAAACATAATATAAACGGAAGATATTACTTTATCAATTATTTGTTTTAGTAATAAAAAGACAAATACCTTGATTGTTTCTGTAGTAGCATAAGCTATACAGCCGAGCATTAATGATGCAGGGAAAGGCCAGGGCTGACTGGAATGATACTCTACTTGGTCCACAATAACTCCACTTTCCTCCTCAACCTCGCGTCGTACTGTATCCTCAATTGTCTCCCCTGAAATATCAGTTATTTATAGGCGCATGAGAGAATACTGTAGTGAATTATAAACTGTGAATTAACTTCATACAAAGGCTTACGTTGAAATTGTGATATTACTTAATAAAAATTCACATTTTATCGTTTAAATTTTATGGTTAGAGTCACAGGGGCGTGAACGGTACTTGCTCATTCCGTACTGTCCGATGGAAATACACTCCATAACAGAGCCTCAACATTTTCAAATTTGCATGCTGCTCTCTAGGGATCGTTTACTCATTAAATGTGAAGGTATGATGAAAATGGCTTTCCCCTGTTGAAATAATCTTATATCATTGTGATCTATACAAATGTATCCCCCAACCCCAAGTATGTGATATATACAAATGTGACATCCCCACCCCCATCCTCCAAGTATAATAGAAGAACTCACTGAATATATATCAATCTTTATTCTGCTGAATCTGTATAATGAGCTTGACCAACATTTTATTTAAATATCAATAAAGAGTGCAAGATATTTCAGTATAAAAATTATAGAAGCCACACAGACTGACTAGCCTATAGTAGTAAAGTTATGTGACTGTTATTTACACAGAGCCGGTAAAGAAAATAAAATGGTATCTATTCAAAACAAGGGAATTTCAAATATTGGTAGTTTTTCTTGAATCAAAAACATGAAATTTTTCAAGTCTCACTCTTAAATGAAGAGAAAAAATATCAACAGTATAAACTAGCGCTAAATGGCCAACAGTTGTATATTTCTTTATCCCTAGAATCTTAGTTGTTAGTAAGATAAAATGTGAAGTGCATACCAGGTTCCATAAATCCAGCAAGGCAAGAATACATTTTAGCAGGAAATCGTTTAGCTCGTCCCAATAAACATTTCTTCCCATCAGGAGAGATAACCAGCATTATAGCAGACGGGTCTGTCCGAGGATAACATGTGTTGTGAATTCCTGGAACGTGTAATAATGAGATATTTAACTACTTTTAATTAAAATATAAAAAAAAAACTACATAGATATTATATAAAACTAATTAACTTTGTACATGTATATTGTTCATAAGACTAAAACAACAAATTGGTACAGATCATGTTTCTGTGTTTTAATGCTTTATGATTTTTTAATTTTTTATTAGACACATGAAAATAAATTACAAATTATCACATAGCTGTGTGGCTTTTGCAACTCTGTAAAAATGGTATTGTAATTTTGATGTTATGTCATAAAAACAGAGCATTACGATGCCCTAAATGATAGTGCACTCATTAAGTGCATCAATGAAAAAGTGATTTTTTTACTGTAAAGAGTTTTAATTTTTGGATGTGTGATAAAAAGATTATTATTTTTGTGTAGGTTCATTACTAAATTTATTTAACTCTTTGAATAAAATATGCGAGTCTCTATAATTTTATTCAACACGTTCAATGAATTTAGTATTGAACCTTTACACTCATTCAATATCCTCTATTTATGCTTTGAGGACAAGTAACTGAGATAGTAAGTAGCAGTTAGGTATGTTATGACAGTATAAGAAGTAACATACCCTGATGACTGCGACATTTCATATTTTCACAGACACGTTTATAGCCTCCCTCTTCTAGCCTCGAGGCTGACCCACATGTCGGACAATACTGGTATCTGTCATGCCAGGCCAGCATTGATCTGGCCTCGGCAAATATCCCAGCCTCGGAGGGTAGTAGTTGCATCACTGCCGGATATCCTGGTACAAACTTACTCCCGGGAACCAGGTCTAGCACCTTCGATTCTTCCGTCCCACTCATATCTACAGCATACAGTGCTGGTTCCTCAAATGTCAATGGAACATGACGATCTTCTTGAATAAGACCAAGGAAAATACATACAGGATTACTGGCCATGTATTGTTCTATATCCTTCATTTCAACTCTAGCTAGTTCAATCTTCCACCTGTCTTTTCTATGATTTAAATCCACACATAAAACACCTAACTCGTGAAACAGAATAAACCTTGTATTATCTGCTAATATTTTATTACGTAGCCAAGTCTTATCTTTTCTTTTATCGGAGCAGCGATTTAATAAGTTAAGAGAAAAGTAGTTCCTAAGATTTATGTCTGGATTAACCTCTTTGGTTCCAGATTGAAGTAACTTAGCAACATCAGAATGATTCCAGAATAGAGCAATGTCAAGTGATGTCTGTCCTGTACTATTTATCATACTGGCATCAACACTACAAATATAAATACATATTTATTATTATATGTGTTTATCATATTAGCATCAACAAACAAATATAAATACATATTTATTATTTTATTGGTTTATCATATTAGCATCAACACTACAAATATAAATACATATTTATTATTATATTTGTTTATCATACTAGCATCAACACTACAAATATAAATACATATTTATTATTATATTTGTTTATCATATTAGCATCAACACTACAAAATATAAATACATATTTATTATTAAATTAATACCTATTCTCCATCTAAGAGAGTAAACCTGTGTCTAAAAACATGAGGGTGATTATCAAAATCATTCTAGTTAAAATATATAAATATATAAAGTTAAATGGGAAAAAGAAGACAACATGTATTGAAATATGCTTGAAGGTTATCTTGTATTAACTTGGCTGTTTCTTTTTATACAAGTAATTTAATTGATATCAAATACAATATTAACATACAAGATTTTATTTCACTGTTTCCTGGTTTAAATTGTTTTGTTATGAAAAGAAATCATTAATAATTAATAAACATAACAAAGGCCTTCCTTATTTAGAAAACTTAAAAAAACAACACAAAAATAAAATTAAATCACAATTTATAAAACATACTTGTTATTTAGTAATTCCTTGACAATATTTGTGTGACCATTCCTTGCTGCAAACATCAAAGCTGTCCAACCATGATCATTTCTAATATTCACATTTAACGATCCTTGAAAATATAAAACTAATATACATGTATGTATATATATGTGTACAGGAAAAATCAATTATGACCTTCATCACAGGTAACATTCCCAAACTTTCTTTTTGGTTGGGTTTTACGTTGCACTGACACAGTATAGGTCATATATGGCGATGTTCCAGCTTTGATGGTGGATGAAGACCTCAAGTGCACTTCCATGCATTATTTCAGGAACGGAGGGGTACCTGAGAAGAACCACTGACGTTCTGTAAGCTAGCTGGATAGCTTCCTCACATGAAAGCATCCAAAGTCCCTATTGGGATTCAAACCCACAGCGGTGAGGGGCAAATAGTTTGAAGTCAACAACCTTAACCACTCAGCCATGGACGCCCTTAACAAACACACAAACTATCTGATAGAAGTTCAGAAGTTTTACATATCAGTTTAGTGTTATTAAAGAGTTGATTTTAATCAGAATGTTGTCACGACAACTAGAACTAATTATCTCTTAATAAATTTTTTAAAAAATGATAAAAGGTTAAAGAAAAGGATAAAAACACTGTTTCAAATAGGTAGCTACTATAAGATAAAGAAACCTTTCAGAAAAATCTTCACATCATCAAGTACACCTGCTGCAGCTCCTTGAAATATCTTTCCATAAATGACTTCTCCACAGCTGTCTCCGAACCAGCCATAATTCTCACAAAGTTGTTTATTCTGTTAGTAAATAAAATAAATAATTTTAATTAATATTTCTGGTAACTGTCTGATTAATCTTCTTTGACAGCATTGTTATTTTAGACTACATGTACAGCTTAACATAATAATCATGATTATGAAAAAATATAACACATAATAACTTAGAATATATTACATTTGTAGATCTATATTAGATCTATGACATGCATAAAATAATTACTATTTTTACTAAGATTCATTATGGATTTTTGCGATTTTATGTTGATATTGTATCAAACATGTTTTATGTTTAAGAGAGATAGTGAGGCGAGAGGTGGGATACGTGTCTAACCTCTGCACCACATGCACCCCCCCCCCCACCTGTCCCATTTAAAACCCCCCTCACCTGTCCCATTTTTAAAAGTTTTAAATACCTGTGCAGTAGAATGTATAATAAAATCATATACAAATTAAACGGTTTGTTAATAATATCAAGGAACATCTTTTTTTAAAAATTAGATACTTACGGAGAATTTAAAGCCCTCAAGAACAGCTGACATCTATTGAAGTACATAAGATAAGGGACCTACTGTCCCAGCTTTTTTTGACAGCTGAAAGGTCAAAATATAGATCGTTGGTACATGGGACCTAAATCTAAACGAAAACAAAATTTTAGAAAGGCGTGTTATTAATGCAAGAAATCCACTTCTTGAAAAGAATAAAATTAATGTACATGATGTTATTTTTAACAGTCTAATTTCATTTGATTTATGTTGTTTTTTTATTTGTAGATTTGACAATTTTCCGGTTAATACAAAAACATTTTTGAAGTTTGGAGTTACATCATTTTTTTTTCTACAAAATTTGGCAAAAAGTTATATTATACGTGAAATTGCATAGTTTAAAACATCTTTTAAGCAATGGTCATATTTTAAGATATTGCTGTGTTAAAAATTGTTGTTCTTATGATACCAGAACGATCAGTATGACGGTTTGTAATATAATTTCGCGACAAATATTGCACTAACATAGTATTCGGATATGCAGTAATAATGCTGTCTGGGGAGGCAGCGGTTGTACTGACAGGTCTTCTGTTTGTCTGTCTCAAGGCATTCGTGACAACATCAGGATATAAACACTTCTTTGAAACTGGTAAAAAGATTTTGCAAGAATAATTTGCACATTATTATTTTAGAAATTTTCTGGTTTATCAGAGTGAAGAAAACAGGTCATGTCAAATCCAACTTTTAATGTTAGTAGATTACATCTTACAATCTGTCAATCAAATTCAAAACAGCCAAATTGACAACCTATGACTTCTCAAAACATTTTGATATGGTCAAATTTGAAAAACCTTGGCTGTGTGAATAATTAAGGGCAGTAACTCTCAAAGACTTAATAGATAGGTCACAATCAGGAGTAAGTTAAGTAAA